CAGGGAACAATGATCCCAGCTGCTGAGACAATAGTAGGCGCTGATAGCAAAGAATAGGAAGGCCAACAACAAGGATGCAAAAGATACGATAGCTTTGCAAGTCTTGCAGAGCAAAAGCCAATTAGCTCTGAGTAACTCCTAAAGGAATCATCATACCGTGTAAAAATAGTTCTGCAGGCTCTGCGAGGAGGGAAAAGCAAGCTCTCAAAGGGCATCAGCATTGCACTCCGGCCACACTACCTCAGTGGCATACGGAATAGGCCGAATGCTGCATAGAATTCAGTGTTTGGGAGGAGAAATCAGCGTGATTCACCGCAAAGCAAGTAGCAATACAGAACGACTCAGGAACTCAGTCGCTCTCAACAGGGAGTCATTTTACTTTCCAGGAGACAGAAGTGCTTGCAAACGTTGTTGATCGTAACAACTGGTGTGTGTGTCAGTGTTACTGGCATCCAGTAGGTTCATTCCAGAGAGGTTGCTAAATCTGCTATGGTGCAGAGGCCTCCACTCAGCTCCCTCTACCTAGCAAGGAACTGTCCGGTCCAAAACGCAGATTGGAGTCCAAGGTTAAGAGTCCTTGCTGTAGATTCTACAGAGAAGGATACAGAAACAGCGAGTTAATCAATGCTTTGGAGATCAAGGAAACTACCCTAAAACAGTGAATTCAAAATTTTCTGAGAAGGATTACGGTACATGGAGATTCACAATACCATTCTTTTAAAGTCACTATATATGTGTTTCTGTAATAACATGAGATCAGAAGGCACTTATATCTTTGACTTTCTTTCAAATGACAAAAGGTTGTTTACAAGAAGTCATTGAAAATGAATGGGACATACCTTCTAGTGGGTGGCTTCAGAGTTTGAAAGTCACAGACACAGGAGACTAGCTATAGCTGGAGAAAAAGTCATAAACAACTGCCAGTTTCCCACCTCCTAAACACCTTTTCAATGCAAATGAACCCAATTCACTGAGCAAACTTGCCACACTTCACATACTAATATATGTGATGAGATTTCTTTTCTTTTCTTTCCTTTCTTCCTTCTTTCTTTTTCTTTCTTTCTTTCTTTCTTTTCTTTCTTTTGTTAGTATTTTCTAATTTTTCTGCAAGACATTTAGTTTCAATTTTTAAAAAAATTTTTGAAATGCTGCACAAACAGAGAATTTCTGATCCTATAGAAGAGGCAAAATTTTTCTCTACTCCCTGAGGGTTTCATAATTGAGTCTATTTAATGAATAGACAGTAGACAGATTAATAGGAGAAATGGCATAAAATTGATTACATGCATGAGCGTACCCCCATAAGATAAAAGTGAGCACCCGTAGCTCAGGGAGACCTGGAAGCTGCTGCGACCTTTCTCCACAGCTGACGAGGGAAGAGGACAAACGCAGTGAAGTGATTTGTGGGGGGAGATGGTCGGGCCTTCGGTAAGAATTTAATCTTTCTGGGTTGATGAGATTGCTATGCAGGGAATTCATGATCATTTTTATGTTCTCACCCCCCCCCCCGAAAGCTTTTTTTTTTTTCAAAGAAAAACAGATTTAGTCAAAAAGCCCGAAGCCCATGTCGTCATCAGACTCCTCGTATTCTTCCTTCTTGACTTCCACTTTCTTTTCCTCAGCTGGACTAGAGGCCGTGGTGGGCACAGGGCCTCCCCGTGGGGGCAGCACCTGCTGCTGGAGTGGGTCCACCGGGCCGACATTGACTTTGGCCACAGCCTTGGCGAAAGAGCCAGGCCAGAAGCGCTCCACGTTGACTCCGGCTGCCTTAATGAAGGCGTTGGTCATGTACGCCGTCATGGTCGCCTCACCGTCCTGCAGTATGAGGGCTGAGTAGATGCAAAGGAGCTGAGAGAAGGAGGCCATGGCGCTGCCTGGCGCGGTGCTAGTCGCCGGATCGCTAGTCGTCGGATGGCGGGCCTCACCCCAACGCGGCCTTAGCTTGCTCGGAAGGACAGAGCACCTTGGTGGCAGCTGGGAAAAGGGACCCAATTTGTATATTTTAAAAAACTTTTAAAGTTTCATTTTTATTTGAAAGAGAAAGAGAGAGAGAGAGAGAGACTCAGTCCAAGTCTTACTCATGCATGGCAGAAACCCAAACACTTGAGCATCTCCTGGGTATACATTAAGAAGCATGCTGGAAAACTCACACACTAAGCAGTCGGGTAAGGGCTGCAGGTGTCTCAGAAGCATGATAACCAGCTTCGTCACATGCCTACGCCCTCTGAAACATTTTAGAGTAAGTTGTAAAGCAATGCCCCATTCCCCCAAAATACTTCAAGAGATGTTATTTTTGTTTATTTTTAATTTTTTTTATTATTGTTATCATGTTATGATACAGTTCCACAGGCTCCTGGCATTTCCCTTACCCCCTCTCCAAATCGGCTTACCTCCCTCTGAGTTCCCTTATATTATTGCAACAGTATAGTTGGTCATAAACAGTCATAAGTCCCTCATTGTGGGCATAGCACAGTCCAGAATCCTGTTGTCAAAATATATTTACTAGTTTCATTGGGAGTCCATCTTCGTGTGGAAGTGGAGATGCATACTGCATTATATCCTCACATCTGGATATGTTAGTTTCCATTACACAGTTACTATACATCCCCTTACATGAAAAGCCATAATACAAAACCAACAACAAGGAAGAAAAATAGAAATTTACAATGCCATGAAGTTATTGCATGCTGCTAGATATGATAGTCTCCATTACATAGTTACTGTACATCCCCTTAAATGAAAAGTCACAAAACAAAATCAACAACAGGGAAGAAAACAGAAATGTATAATGCCATGAAGTTAAATAACATGCAACTAAATGACTAATGTGCTACCAAAAAAATGAAAAAGAAAATCAAGAACCTTCTTTTTTTTTTTTTCCAAAGGTTTATATATTTTTATTGGAAAGTCAGATGTGTGTGTGTGTGTGTGGGAGACAGAGAGAGAGAGAGAGGAACTGTCTTGCTGGTTTACTCCTCAAATGCATCCTGGCTGGGTCAGGCTGGAGAAGGAGGAATTCCATCCAGGCCTTCCACGTGGGTGGCAGTGATTGCTGGCAGCTGGGTGAGCAGAGGTGGGCCCCAGGCACTCTGCTGAAGGCTCCTATGTAATAACTGCTAAACCATGGATCTATTCTAGTGGGAGTTTTATTTCTTTCCTTTTTTTTTTTTTTTTTTTAAGATTTAGTCATTTGAGAAGTTTAGTGGGAAAAATTATCTATTTTATTTTTAAAGAGTTACAGAGACAGAGATCTTCTATTTGGTGTGATGGTCCAAATCTGGGAGCCAGGGGCTTCTTCTGGGTCTCCTACGCAGGTTCAGGGTTCTAAGGCTTTGGGCCTTCCTCTGCTGCTTTCCCAGGCCAGCAGCAGGGAGCCAGATGGGAAGTGGGGCTGCTGAGACATGAACTGGCACTCATATGGGATTGCAGTGCCTGGAAGTGGAGGACTAGAGGGTTTTCTTTTTTTTTTTTTTTTTCTAGTGGGTTTTCTTATAGGGACTTTGTCTTTCACAACCACAATACAAGTATCAAATTCAAGCAATTAAGATAAATATAATGTCACTTGGTTTATAAATATTGATATCTGGTTAGTTATCCCAATAATGCTCTTCATAGCAAAAGAAATTTTTCTTTCTGCCTAGGATACTATCATGTGTCATTTTTCCATTAATCTAGATGAATTCCTCTGTCTTCCAGGACAATTTTGTAGAATATAAGCCAGTTATATATGTATATCACATGTATATGATTTATTTACTTTTTTTAAAAAGCTGATAAGAAATACAGAGAGAAGGAGAGACAGGGAGAAAGATCATTTATCCTGATTTACTCCCCAAGTGGCTGCAATGGCAGGATCTGTGCTGTTCTGAAGCTAGGAGCCAGAACCTCCTTGGGGTCTCCCACGCGGGTGCAGGGTCCCAAGGCTTTGGGCTGTCCCTCTACTGCTTTCCCAGGCCACAAGCAGGGAGCTGGAAGGGAAGTGGGGCAGCGGGAAATGAAATGGCGCATTTGGCAAGCTAGCGCGTCAGAATTGAAGATTAGCTTGCTGTGCGACCACGAGGACCCACAGTAATTTCTTAAAAAAATTTTTTTTTTTTACTTATTTGAAAGATGCTGTTAAACAGAGGGAGACAGGAGGAACGGGGGGGAGGAGCGGGAAAGATTTTTCAATCCATTGGCTCACTGCCCCAAATAGCTGCCCCGGCAGAATCCAGGGGCTCCCAAAATTCCTCTGGTTATCCCAGTTGGGTAGCAGGTCCTCTGCTACCTTCCCAGGCCCTTTGACAGAGAGCTGGGTAAAGTGGAGCTGCTGGGACTCGAACGGGAATGCGGGTCAGGTGCTCAGACAGTGCTACAGCCTTCGGTGTAGCCTAAGGGAACAACGACATTGAGTTGCAGACACAACAGTGTGAGAATTCATGGAAACAAGTTTGAAGGGCTAGACTATTTTTGTGCTAAGATGTTTGACCTGTAGTGAACTGTTCCCTCTCCTTTTGATCTCCCTTATCTTTAGGAATGTCCCTCCCCTTTTTATCTGTCTCATCTGAGCCATTAGGGATCAGGGTAACTTTACCTGTTTGTGTTTGTGTTGTAGCTACAGAGTGTGAGCTTCTGGAAAGCAGGCATCACAGCTTATTTTTTCTTCTATCCTCAGTGTTTATTCTATATTCAATAATTGAATAGAAAGAAACACACATGCTTATATTACTGCTCTGGGGTGGAAATGAGGAAAGAAGACCAGAGCCTTCATACGGCCTTGGCAATGGCATTTTCCTATACGCTTTAAAATAAAAGCCACGTCTGGGGCTGTTGCAGAGGACTGCAACTGTGCCGCTACTTGGTGAAGATACCCAGGGCTCTCTATCTTTCAGAGAAGGCCCAGCCTAGGCTTTAGGCAGGGTGGGGAGGCAGGTGGGGCGGGAACTCGAAAATCGAACGCCAGGCTCCCGGCATTCCTCGTGGGCGGTGCTCCCCTTTGACCCGTCGTTCTCGTGCTACACATCCGGGCTTCTGTTACTAGCGAGGGGAAGATGGCGGCGGCAAGTGTGCTGCTTCCCGCAGAGTGGATAAAGAACTGGGAGAAATCAGGAAGAAGCGAATTGTGAGTGTTCGGGCCGGCACAGCCACACGGTTGGGCGGGGTGAGGGTGTCGACAGCACCCTCAGGTGCTGTGGGATGTCGCGGGGGGGGGGGGAGTTCCCCCTCCCCCACCGGGGTGGCTGGTGTGGCTGGTCGGCTGGGAGTTTAGAACTCGGGGATGTGAAGTACTGTTAGCCGCCGCTGACCTCCTTCTTTCCCCGGCTTCTCCGAAATCCTGCTGCCCGCATTAGGCCGGCTTCCTCTACCCTCTTTACGGGACTTCTGTTCCGTCCCTGCCGCTCCCCGCGCTTCTCTCTTTTTGTCCCCCCTTACGTTTGAGCTCACTTGGCTCCTTTCTCTTTCTGGGTCTGCACTGGGGGCGATTCGGACTTCGCAGCTCTCTCTATCCCGTTTCTTCACTCTGCACTCATTCGACTCCGCAGTTTGAAGCCTGCCCGAAGTCCGAGGAGGGCGAACCGTCCCGGACTCCCTCCCCTCCTCTCCGCCCGCCGCCCAGAAGCCCGGGGCATCGCTTGGCACCTCTGGACTGTCCCGGCCTTGCGCCGCGCCACGGGCCGGAGGAAGTGACAGGGATGGCCGCTTTCCCTGAAGACTGCTGGCATTTCTTTGCACCATCTTTTCACCTTAGACCTATTTCGGTTTGGACTCAACTTTTGTCATTAAATGTTTCCTGAATCCCACTTTGTCCTGGGACTATAACTCATTCTGGCGGCACTCCAAGTACCTAGGATAACGCGGTTACTTTAATCAGCAAACTTATCTTTTTTCCCACAGCCCGCTTCAGCGAGCTACACAACAGCAATTTGTATTGCCCGCAGATTCCTCGGCCCGGATTTCAGCGCTTCTCCCTTGGGCGGGGGAGAGCGCGAGGGTCAGACAGACTGAAGCAGGAACACCAGCCGCGGGCTTAAAAACGAGTAACTTAGCGTTAATTGCTTAATTTGAATCGTTTGAGGAGCTTATTTCTGTAGCAGATTTCTCCTTACTGCCCTCCCCACCTTTGTGCGGCCAGTTTCTAATTGCCAGCGCAGAAAGATACGTATCTTTGGAACTTTGTTGTTACTTGTGCCCAAACGAAACGAAACGTTTGAGCTTGCGTCGTCGGCCTGTGTTGCCTTATTGCTTCCCACCTCTTCCCTCCCAACCCCCACCCTGCACTACTTTATGAAATCTTAACTGTCACCTCTAGGATTGGATTGCCTGAATCATAAGCGGCTGTCTTAGCCACTTAACTAGCTCTGTGACCTTGGATAAGTTCCTTAACCACCGTTACTGTTTCCCTTGATTAAATTGGGAATAATAAGTGCTCTACTCAAAGGATTGTTGTGAAGATTCCATTATGCCTGTAAAGTACTTGGCTTATAGTAAGTGCTCAGTGATAGCTATTAAAAGTAATATTACTCCAACCTTTAGATATTTAAACTTCTCAGGACAGCTCTTGCACTTACAGGCGGTACCACTCAGGTTAGCAATTAATTGGTCTCTGCTCCATGTGCAGTTACTTTTGTATGCTAATGAATTGCAAGGGCCTTGAAGGGTAGGAACTATGTTTCCATTTCCTGCTGGTTCAACTCCTCCCCTCCCTGCCCAGCATGTGGTTACTATTTTATTAAATGACCGAGAATTCTTTTTGATAAAAATTTTGTGAAGTGTTAGTAACATTTTCTGTGTCCTGATAAGTGCTTGCTGGCAAAAAGCTGTGAAGTCCCCGTGTGCCTGAAAGGTGGAATGCGAAGTTGCCCTGTCAAAGTGTCCTCTTGATTTGTGTTGGGGTAACCCCTAAACCCAGGCGAAATTGTTGTTTGTTCACTTTTAAAGACAACTCTTATTCAGGGCCAGCATCTTTCTAGATTGCTCAGTCTCCTTCCTGAAGCTTCAGGTTTTTGAGTTTTGTTATAATTGCTTTTGTCTTAGAATGAGTGGCACTTGGGATAGGAGGTGAAACTTTGCTTGGCTTCTGACTGGCAGTGGTTGGAGGAAAAGCATGTGATGTGGGGGTTGGCACACCTAGGTAAAGGGAATTTTGGGATCATTTTAAATGTATTTACATGATCCATGTTGCCCATCATACTTTCTGTGTTTGAAGAATTGCTTTTAAGGACTTACATATAAGAAGTTATTGCATGACTTGTGGAATGTGATTTAACAGATGTGTTCCTAGTTTTATAATTGTATTCTAGTTTTTAAATTGTATTTAAAGTTGTTATAGGACATAATGAAATATTTAAATAAGCAGACACATGAAATACAGTACTTTTCATTTATTTATCCTCTTTCCTTGATGAAAACTTTATTGCATAAAGCTTACATGCCCATTTTTTTACCTTGCCAAAGATACATATTAGCATTTTCCTTTTCTTAGAACAAATGGGGTTATATTACAGAAAAAGTGCTTGCCTGGAAACAGAACCTTTTAAATATGAAACAAACTCAAATTTTAAAAATAGTGTACCATCAAATTATTAGTGGGTATATTTATAGATTTGGCTTTTGGAATATGACCAGTATTTGCAGTTATATATTGGGTAGATTTTTCGTTTTCAGTGAGATAAATTACCAGCTAAGCTTTAACAAGATTGGAAATTACCTTTTTAAAAAATATTTATTCCATGAAGTTCATTTCTTATTTGTCTCTTGCCAGCACAAGTCAGGTGTTATAGTGTCATTGTGTTAAGAAGAAATACACATGATGTATCGGATATTTTATGACTGACAAGTGAAAAGTAACTGTATTGGTTGGAGGGTCTTGACTTTTAAGAATAAGTTTTGTTAGATGATTAACCAGAGAAGTGAAACTATATTTTTCCTGCCTGAATGATCCATCTGTCATATGCTTAGCTACCTTATTCTGTTTCCATAGACACTGATCATGTTTTAGTGATAAATTACTTAACATTTTTTTTAAGTTAAAAGTTAAGGCTGGGATTCAGAGACAGAGACAGAGTGAAAAAAAGCAAAACCAGTGAGCTCTCATCTGTTTGGTACTTAAATGCTGGCAACAGCTGGGGCCAAAGCTGAAGCTGGGAACCCAGTGCAGGTCTCCCCTGTGGGTAGCCGGTATCTAAATGCTTAAACCATTGCCTGCTGCTTTTCATGGAGCACATTAGCAGGAAACTGGAATTGGGAGCAGGGACCTAATCTAGACACTTCCTTATGGGATGTAAATGCCTGGCTTTATAAAACTTTTTAAAAGAAAGATTTATTTTGATTTGAAAGGCAGTTTACAGAGAGAAGAGAGAGGTTTTCCGTTTGCCTAATGGCTGAAATGCCCGGAGCTAAGTGATCCAAAGCCAGGGACCAGACCTGAGATCTCCCCGCGGGTGCGGGGGCCCAAGATCTTGAGCCAGTTTCCAGTGCTTTCCTGGGCCACAAGCAGGGAGCTGGATGGGAAGTGTAGCAGCCAGGAGGAGAACTGGCATCCATATGGGTTACTGGCGCCACAAAGCGGAGGATTAGCTTGCTGTGCCACGATGCCAGCCCCTCTATAGTACTTTAAAAATGGCCTTTTCCATGAATGTGTAGGGAGCACTCCCAAAACATAATTATTACGTGTCCTTTCCAGTAGTACTTAGACCTACTTTTATAGGTTCCACATCTGAAATACAGAGTCAAATCTACCAAAACCTGTATCTAGATGTGGATTTATCTACTTTAATTTTGGGATTAGAGTTTTTATTTGTTTGGTGAATCCATATCAGCATAGGACTTGCTGTGATTAAACTAGTACACTTGCGTGAACTGGTAGTTCCAGAGGAGAATTATGTTGTTAGTGGAAATCATTAACACAGTGAGCTCAGCTTTTCTTTGTTAGAAGAACGTGAATGGAGGGTTTATAGTCCAAGCTCTTAATCTGAAGGAAGATGTTAGCCTCATGTCACTACTTGTTCCAATTTTAAAATAAGATTTGTTGATTACCATCTGTTTACTTTGAGAACTTTCTTTTAATTAAAAATTACATGTCCCAATAAGAAACTTTATTTTTTTAGTAGTAGTTACAATAAAATTCTAAATTGTCATTGTCAAATGTTTGGGTTGCGATTTATTTTCTTTCATCTCATGAATCTAGACATTCAAGGATTTATCGAAGTACTGTAAATGTCATTTGACCTGAATTTCTTTGAGGGAACTAAGGAGGGTTTTAGCCCTGGTACCCCTCCCCAGCCCCAGTTGTTCTGAATCAGTCAGTGCTTTAGCTGAGACCTTGACTTCATGCCTTCATTTCCATTTGTTCCCTGGTTTTCACCGGAGTTAAGTTCTGGTTTGATTTTTTGGTTTGATTTCCTGGGAAGAGAAATACATTCTTCAGAAAACACTGAAGCAGTATCAGGAGACTGTGTAGGATACTGTTTTCTTTGTTAATATCCTATAATGCTTAAGTGTTGAAGTAGAGTTATTAATATACTTACACTTTTTCCTACTGTAAGTGCAGGAACTTTTTTTTTTTTTTTAGCATTTCCGGTTTTCTTAGCTCCTGAATGTATGTTTCCAAAAAGTGGCACTTAAGCAACTCGACTGGTTTTTGTTGTCTCATTTTTTTTAAAAAAAAAATTGCTAGAAGCATGAACGCGTTTTGCATAGTTTGAAATAAACTTTGGAATGCCAGCACACTCAGATAGTTGAGGCTTGTGCTGTTTTCTTTGTCCTGGCTTGTGCTTGCCTCCTGTATCACAGCCATGGGGTTCACATTCCACCTCTGATTCTGATTCAGCTTCCTGCAAATGCACACTCTGGGACACAGGTGGTGGTTCAAATATTTGAATCCCTACCCGCCCCCACGGGAGACCCTGATGGAGTTCTCAGCTATTGACTTCGTCCTGGTCCGCTGCTGGCTGTGGTGGCATTTGGGGAATATACCAGTGGATGGAAGGTCTCTTGTCTCTGTTGTGCTGCCTTTCAGTAAATGAAAATAAATGAGGTTTAAAGAACTGTCCTTCAGGCTGCATGTATAAGATGGGTGTCAAAGCTCTAAATGAATTAAATGTTTAGATTTGATCTCATCTT